CATTATTTTTTGTTAGAGTTTATTTCTAATATTTTACTATATAACAAATTGTTAGAATTCTCTTTCAAGAGATAATAATTATTATTTTCTTTGTTAATGATTATATAAAATACTAATTATCATGATGAAATCTTATTTTTAAATATTTTATTGAAAAAACTTTCCAAATTAGGAAAATCTCAATATAAATTAATAATTATTAATTTATCGATAAATTAAAACCTCTATAAATTAATAGATTTTCATGGTCCCAACATTATTAATTTATAGAGGTTTTACTGTATTCTAAGCTACCATCATTTTTAGTATACCTAATCGAAATCATTATTATATAAGTACAAGACAGTATCGTAATTAAACAAATAAAAGTACTCACTTATGCAATATTCGCACATGACTCGGTAGTATAGTATCCATTTTGTTTTGCCTGAAAATAATTATATTTTAAACTCGGTCTATGACTTTTTTTTCCAATTAGATTATATGATTATTCGAGATATGTATTTCTCTACCTAATTACGTACGACGACTAATAACTGCACTTATCATACACGTCTCTACGTGTTTAAACATGTTTATATTATTTTTTGTATTAGCCATCTGTGTATTTCATGAAAAGTCGTGTACGTATAAAGGAATCATTTCGTAGATGCTCACTGTATTACCAAAGTTAGAAAATCATGTTCTTTAAGAAAAACCATAAATTAATACGTTAACAACCAAAAAAACAATATCAAAGGGTTGTCTAATGTTATAGTAACAATTAAAGCGAGATATGTCTAACGTCATAAGATAAAAATGAGAAACTAACGTTACGTTTAAAAACTCAACTATAACAAGATTACGAAAATTCTAAGATCTTGGTGAATCTTTGTTCATTACAAAATTTTATTTTGGATTCTCAACTAGTACTATTGTAAAAAGCTTTACAAAAACACAACCGTTGGTTGAGATTTGAGACCAAAAAGAGAAAAAATAATACCAAGTGTTGAGGGAATGGAGTGGGTATAGAACACGTCGTAAAGAAATGATGTCTTTTCGTGCATCAAACATGCACCTCGCATTTTGTTTTTGTAAACAACCCCACTCTTTACAATTCAAAATCTTTCACATTTTTTTTATATATAATTCTTGTACTATCGGACCAAAAACATATTCGAGAAGATGGGCAGAACTTTGCATTGCAACATATTCGAACAAAAAATATTACTAGATATGTTATAGAGATCATCGAACTGATCGAAATTGTTTTTGAGTTTTCATAAATTCATTAAAAGACCAAAAGAGAACCTACGTTTTCCACAATTCACGTGGCTCATGCATAGTCACAAACACACTTACACACAAGAATCTACTGCATGACGCCTGCGAAAACAAAAGATTTCATGTACTGCATGAACCTCACGACAACGTTTCGAGTCATCACCACAAGCACCAAAAGAAGGACCATGGACCACAATTAAGTGGTGCAAGATTGTCTTGCACTGAACCGTATAGCACAGTTGATTTTCAGGTCTTGTGGTGGATCATAGCTATGTAAAGAATGTTCGAATTCCTAGCCTTTGAGTACCATTGTATCTAGGCCCATATATATCACAGAAGAGATGTAACTAGCTACTTACCATAAACTAATTTCCGACGACGATATTAGTCGGAATTTTGTCGGAAATGACATATTTCGACGAAATTTCGACAAAATCAAATTCGTCGGAATTCTTTGTTCGGAAATTAATATTCGTCGGAAATTGGTCGGAAATTACTGACGAAAAAATATCGTCAAAAATTTGTCGGAAATATTTGTCGGAATTTTGTAGGAAAATTTCCTACCAATTTCCGACGAAATTTCTCGGTGGTCGGAAATTCGTCGACAATTTCTGAACATTTTTATAAATAAATTAAACTAATTTTGAAAACTATTTCCGACGAATTTCCGACGACTATTTTTATTATTTAAAAAAAATAATATATATATATATATATATATATATATATAT